GACTGAAATTGTCATATTTAAGCACTTAGTTCAAACATTAGTGGAAGCAGGGGCAATCAGTGCTTTTCTTGAAAGGTAGGCCACTTTGATGTAGCTTTCAGGTATTATGTGGATTCCAAAATTTAAGTGCTTATGGCTGGATTTTCACATGTGCTGAATAATACTGTGCCTCTCTTTCTGTTTCCTATGGCAGCTGCTGGTGCTCACGACCTCTGAAAAATTAGGCTATTATATGTCAAAATGTTGGCCTAAAGCTGACTGACGCTAATTGGATTTCAGGTAGATTCCTTTCAAAGAAGAAGAACAGATAAAGTATTCCTTACTGGATGCACAATCACAGCTGGCCTTAAGGGCCTGAAAACTAGTTGCTGTTCCCAGTCTTCTCAGTGACTCCCAGGATCTTGAAATGTCAAATCTAATCCTGTATATCATTTAGAAACCATTAATGCACCAATTTTTCTCGTGATGATAGCCTTGAACATTTAAATTGATCACTTGCAAGTTTAGACTGTTTCTCTCCTTAAGTTATTTATGAATAATCACAAGACTACTGAGGATGGTACTGTTGCTTCCATGTCCACCATAACCTCTTTTCTTAGTGGCTTGATTGGAAGCTACCTTTTAGCCTCAGTCTATAAATTAACAAAAGTAACCTCTGCCCCAAGGAGTGAAAACTCAATAGCTTGAGTAATAGTATCATTAGAGCTGATCAACCATTAGTAACGTCATTCCAACTGCATCACCTTTAGGTTGACCCCAAGCAAAGCCAGGTTGGCTACAATCCTTAAAATTAGAAGGCTGATAAGCCTGTGAATGGCTGCTTGAACAGGTATCAACCATGTATCAATCTGAGTTGGCATGAAAGGAGTGATACTCAAGGGCAATAATGAAATACATTTTTTATATTGTGGCTCTAGTAATGAAGGATTTTCTAGGTTTTCTTAATTATGCTCTTCTTGGCCTCCACAAAGGCAATATAAAAATAAAGACCTGTTTGAAAATCCTGTGTTTGCACATTAATAAAGCTCTTTGCAAAACTTAAGACTTCCCAGCTGAGCAAAAACACATGAAGTGTAAGGGATCTTACATAACTGTCAAGGTTTCCCCATGACATTAAAATCCAGTCATGTCTGACTCTTGGGGCAGTACCCTTCTCCATTACCTAGCCAAGGAAGCCAGTGTTTGTCCGCAGACAGTCTCCGTGGTCATGTGGCCAGCATGACTATACATCAAGGTGCACGGAACGCTGTTACCTGCCCACCGAAGTGGTACCTTTTTATCTACTTGCATTTGTATGCTTTTGAACTGCAAGGTTCTGTACTTGATCAATATGCTATATAAAAGAAGCAAATTTACAGATGTTTACAAACATGTACAGAAACAAATAAGGCACAACTGAGAAAACACACCAAATTGCAGACAAAGTAAATAATTCCAATGTGCATGCATTGTATCACAAAATTGTATCAATTCCAATGCATCATATGAAACTCATTAATATCATGGCAACATACCAGTCTAATAGCATGTACTACATTTTCAACAGAAATAAACCACTCTTTTTAATATGTAACATACTAAATGTAAGCCTCCCAGAGAGACATAAATGTATAATAATAATAATAATAATAATAATAATAATAATAATAATAATAAGCAGCTATTAAAACAGATATCATAAGAATGTTTTCCTACTTCTTGGATATCAATATGTTTTCAGTGTACTGGGCAATTAACTAAGGTAAAACAACCAGATATATTATACATGGTATATGAAATTCCTTTAGAGCAAACTTCAGTACTATGTTTGACTGCAGAAATTATAAAAAGGAAAACAAATAAAGTGGTGTATATACAGCTCATGAGGAAGACAGTTCATCGTTGATACAGTGATACACCAGGATTCTGTTCAAAGAGACCTAGTGGGTTTTCTAATGCAAAACAGAACATCTTCTTATGCTTCTTGAAAGTACCATCATTGATGGTACGTCTGGACTTTCCTTGAAAACATCTAAGGCAGGAGATTACACAGCCTTCCTAAGGAGTCTGTTGCACTGCTGGAACTTTCTTAAATTTATGGTTCACTTCCCCCTCCATATTTCCCCCCTTTCTGTAGTTTAAAGATGTTGTGGTTATCATAAAGGATAAACAACTGCTCATCCATTTCTTTCTAACTTCTTGTTCAACTCATGAAAATTATCAACATATGTCTTTTCGTATTTATTTTACCTAAGCTAAACATACTTAGATCTTTCAACCTTTCCTTTTATTTCTTTTCATGCCATGTTGCTTCATCCCTTTTCTCTAAATCTCAAACTTCTGGGGTTTTTCCCCTTTTTCTTGAGATACTGGGACAGTCAATTAGCTAATGCTTGGAAAATATCACATAGATTGCACTAAAATCTGTTTGTTCTGATTCTGTAATGATGAATCATGAGATAACAATCCCTTAAAAACTTTTCACAACAATCATAGCACATCTTGAATTGTAGCGGAATTCCACTGAAAAAATTTATCCCTTGCACCCCACCAGAAATCTCAAGCAAATTAAGATGAGGAAGCTCCAACTCCTCATTGGTCACAGACAAGGGTGCACTTAGAAGGGACTGAAGAGAAATATTTTGATAAACTAAGCCGCTTTTCTAAGAACAAATTTCATGGCAAAGGGGAGAAGAAATCGGGGAAATATAAAAAAATCTGCCTCTGCCAAGCCTATCTTCCATCAAAAGAAGAACAAGAGAAGATTCAAATAGTAATCATTCACAGACATAATCAGGTTTTGAGAACTGGATTAGTGAATGGCTACTCTTTCTTTCTATATGAAGAAGATGGGATAAAAACAGTTTTAGGTTCTTATGAATATGGTATGAACAATTTGATTTACAAATGCAAAAATGACCACAAGTTAGATGGCATTTTTAAAGAAAGGAACCATCATTGCATGTAAGCACTCTGGTAAAACAGCTCAGTATTTTTAGGTATTTGATTTTCAACAAGTGTAACAAAAACCTTTCTTGACAGTTCCATGGCTGCAAAGTCCTAGCAACTTGGAGCCATTTGCAAATGTATCATTCCAACTCCACATAAGAATTTTTCCAATTTGCTTCCTTTATGTTTGTCTCCAGAGAACAGTGGTGTCTCAATGCAAGAAGAATCTGGGTTTGTAAATGAGCACCAGGAATATAAGCATTCTACTTTTAATGAAGAACAAGGCATTCTTCTAAGTTCTAGAACAGGACTGCAAGATGAGATTAAATCCTGACATTAAGATTTCTGCAAGGAGTACTCAAACTGTAGCAACAGAATAATTAAAACAGTTGCCTTTTTTACCCTTTCCCAAACATTCTTGCATTCTTGTTTTTGCTCTTTGCTACCCTTTGGTTCCATAAGTCCAGAACTTTTTGATTTGGACCTGACAATTTTAGGAAGCTGTATTAGTAAAGGATGCTTCTTCACTCACACTTTAAATTTACATCTAAAAATGTAATGTGGGAGTGTTGTGAACATGTATGTGCAATCAAATGTATCATACTGATGCACCCATCAGAAAGCTGCAACAACTTGTCATGTGTATACTCAGAGGCAAAGAAAATCTGGGTATGTTGCCATGCAGTGTGTGAAACAACTCCAGTAGTGATCCATGGATAGCAGTGCGGCCATAATTAGAGAATTTACTACATTTCTCTAGGTATTAGTAAATATATTTACTAATCCACAGCACTACTATCAGTGCAGTAGTGTTTTCTGCATCTCTTTTCCACTACAGATAATCAGTGACAGAGGATGAAAGTGTTCAGTTGAACAGATGAAAGACACTGGTTCTCACAGATGCACAGTTGTGGGTGGTGTTTGTTACTGTTCAGGCCTTTCAATACCTGTGTACAGAATCAGGCATCAAACAAGGAGCTTCTTTTGCATTGGCTAGGCTTTCTCACCTTTCAGCTAGCACATGATGTGGGGTAGGAAGGGGCACCATGACTGAGGGGCTTGGCTTAGAAGATGCAGGTCCCCTTTTCAAAATTGCAACATGAGCAGTTTAAAACATTATTTCTTTTGCAAGAGAAGTCTTACACACCCTTCACAAACTATACCAAAACTGCTCCTGCAGTACATAATTGGGTAAGTGGCTGGAGGAGCTCTCTGTCACAGTCCAGGAGCTTTTTCATCCAGAAACCAGAAGTCCATTTTGGGGAAGCTCTCATGGCTCGCATTCCAACAATGGTTGCTGCCAAAAATGAAAGGAACAGGGGCAACCCCACTCCTAAATAGGAGTATATTTTAGTTACTGCCAGGAACTAAGCCTTGGGAGATGTATTTTAATCTCTTAGAACAGGGGAAAATGGCACAAAGTCAGGAAATCACCAAGCTGGTTGTTGGGGAAAAGTGATGTGACCTGGCTGTCTGGATTTGACCTGCAGCCTGAGGTTCTGCTCCACTGCTCTATATACACAGAAGACATTCTGAACATTTGAAGGGGGCAAGGCTTGTTTCAGGTGATTTCATGGGCAGAATCTGTTGGCAAACCCAATCATAATTGGAATCCAGCAACCAGTTATTCTGGAATCTACCTAAATAAAATGGAACTTCTATGAAGTGTTTAATGTATTTTAGCATATTGCAGAAATATGACTTGGTCTGGACACACTTCCAGTAAGTCCTTGCTTTGTTTCTAATACCAGAACAGCAGCTCTTAACACTCCTGCCTGCTTGCAATCTAGAAAAGGGGGATTTGAAAAGATCTGTCAGCCTGTGCCCAGTGTACAGCACAGGAAGGTGCTCTTGTATGGTGCTCTTAGACACAGCTCGGACAGCTTCATGGGTAGACTACCTGCAAGTAGCTTTCTGTTTATTCGTGTGGTTCACCAACCCTTGCCCCCATGCTGATGTACACCAGTACACTTCACAGAAAGCAAGACTATTCTCTCTCCCACCGTGAATACCTTTGGTAAACAATATATGCCACAACCCCTTGATTCAAGCACTCTTAATGAGCAGGGTACCTGCAGTTCTGTTTGGAAGAAGAACTTCTGTGGGCACTGTGTGCAGTCATAGATCTTGTCTTCTTGCCCATGGGCCGAAAAAATGTGTTGCTGCAACTTGTTGGCTTGAACAAATACTGAAACATTAAAAAGAAAAAGTGAACTTTTTGTTATTTTGCTTCCTATGTGGAGACTTTTTCGTGAACATTTCCTCATTAACTCGCAGCAATTGCAAAGGGTACAATTATCTAAGTACCCTATAATTTCTGATTATACTGTTGCTATAATAGGCACCAGCCATGATTGCTCAGTTCCACATTCAAGTTCTAATTTTCTTTTCTTTTCTTTGTAAAAGAACTGTGCTTGTATGTCTGGTAAAACATAATCAAATAACATTCAAATCTAAAACATTTGGAAAGCCATCTTTCCCCTCTTACTAACATTAATTTCCCTCTTACCACAATCATTTCAGATTCAACCATGCTACACTAAAAATCAAAAGTAACATTTTACAAAATTCCTTGCTACTGAGAAATTTGGAAACAATACATGGCAAAGCCTTTCTTTTCTGCTTTCTTTCTTTCTCTCTTTCTCTCTTGCTTTTGCCCAAAAGTTAAAGCGAACAAAGAATGCTATATTTAAATGAATTAATGTTAAAATTATATCCCACAGCTACACTGGGGCAATGTCTATAAATGTGAAACAGAACTGCAGGTAAATTCTCTTTGGATACTTTAAGATCAACTCTGAGTACACACTGAATGCAAGGGTTTCAATAATATAAACATGTTCAATTTTAATGACTACAAAACAAGGCCCTAAGACTGTGTAACAGTTTACCTAGGAGACATACTATTAATAATTAAATTGTATATGCCAGAGGCAGTGTTTGGGTTGGCAGCACTGACTTCTGATGGATGCCTGGTGCACTGTGACCTAAAAAAGTTTGCATCTACAATATTAATCTGTATAGGCAGGGAAAGGATTTATTAAAGATGCTGGCATTTAACTTTGACTCCACTCCTAATCATTAAAATAATTCTAATTGAATGCCAACAAAAAAAGAAAGAAAGGAGGAATTAGAATAGTGTTCTTGTGAGTCATACATTTTAATCACATTTCTCATTACCTTAAAAAGGATCGGATTCCATTTTCCATATAAAACTTATATTGGTGATTTTCAATTCTTGTTAATATTCTACACAGTAAAATAATTTAATAGCATATTACTCATAAAACATTGTTGTTTATGATTAATGTGCTGTGTCTATTTACCCCATCAGCAAAAAAGGGAAAATGGTTATACAGATTGGAATAGAAGTTATCTACATACGTCTTAACACATTTTATAGGGCCACTGGCTGAAATATTAAGGGATTATTATTTTTATTTTTAATCACAGAACTTATTCATGGAGAGAACCATCAGTAAGGCTGCTTTTCAGTTGCTATTTTGTACTGTAATTTTTTTAAAAAATCACTCCAAACTTAACTCTTAGAATCACAGGCTGTACTGAGTAAGTTAAAGAAAATCACTTCCTTACTTAAATACAAACACAGAAGATGTGGAAAAATCTAGTAGGATCAATGCAAAAATACAAATAATAAAATAAGGTGATCAACAAGGGAAGGTAATCATCAATAGCAGCAACTCTACCTGAATTTGTCCCTATTTTATTTTAACCCTAATCCTGCCAAATATGAAGGGATATGTAAAGGTACTGGAGGGATGGCCATGTTTTCTTATCAACATGTGTCACTGGAGAACTTCCCATTGCTTCCCATTGATGTGGGGCTCTGTAAACTTCCAATGTTCCTCTTTTAGAAAACCAAATCTTACATATACAGCGATTCAAGGTATAATTTTAAATAGCACCACTGCTATTAAAGCAAAGATGTGTAGTGTTTAAATAGTTTGATTTGCAATTCCAGTTGCAGCTTAGGTTTCTAGTCCATACTGTGGGGAGCTTGTTTTATTGGTAATAGGCCTATGCGCAACTAAAGCCTGCAGTTTCTCACAGTTGTGATGCACAACTGAAGGGGAAAAGGGCTTTATATCTTAACCGTGGTAGCCCCAGTTATCTCAAGCCTTCAATAACGGGGTATGTAGAGCAAAATGGTGGGGAACTTATTTGGGGTGGGATGGGTAGTGAGCAGAGGAGAGAAACTAGATAGGGGGTTGTAGGTGCCTGGGGGGTGGGGGCAGTAGCATAGAAGCTGGGCAGGCTGTGTCCAGGTGCAGCTTTTTGAGTGAGTTTCAGAAATGCATGTTCATTACTTGTTAACCAGCAGCAATTTCATGTGCTGAGTATGTGAGAAACAGTTATCACATAGACCAAACAGCTGAGACACAGCGTTTCTTATCACTTTAGACCTTGGACTGTGGGTTTTAAGCTGTAAGCCGAAGAGTGCTGAATGTTCTAGGGAATCGTGCATATGTGTGTTCACACACATTTGAGACACTGCAGTATGTCTCTGCTCTGTAGTAGTACTTCAATTATGAGGCATCAATAGTGCCTCTAAATATGCTTCTTTCCACTTTTGTAGGTGGTATATGCACGGTATTAAATGCACAGACATGCAAGCAGAGTGATCATGCAGCTCACAGTGAAGTGATCCAAGCTGTGGGATGCTGTGCTGAAAAGAAGCATCCTCACAATAGCAGTATTCGAATGGCCCAATAAGACAACCAGGTTCAACCTCCTAGTCAATGAGGATTTCCAGGTTAAAGCATCCCTAATAGATGATTGTCAGACTTTCCGAATTCTAGATCTACTTAGCTTTACAGGCATGGGATATTCCTAATGGTAATCTATCCACACCTTATGAGCTAGTGTGATGTGGTGCTTAGAGTGTTGGACTGGAGACCTGGGAGAACTGGGTTCTAGTCCCTACTCAGGTATGAAGCTCACTGGGTAACTTTGGGCTGACCACAGGCCCACAGCTCAACCTGTCTCATAGAGCTACTGCTGTGAGGAGCCATGCAAGATGCCTTAGGTTCCTCACAAGAGTAAAAAAAGTGGCATATAAATGCAATGTGATCTCATCCACAGATTGTGCCATCCACAAATGATGCCTTAGAGCCTCACCTCCATGCACTCATCCCAACTGTTCAAGGCAAAGGGGTTGGAGCAAGTCCTTTACGAGGAAGAGTTGCAACAGCTGAGAATGTTTAACTTGGAAAAAAGTGAGCAAGGGGAGACAGGAATGATGTACAAAATTGTGCATGGTGTGGAGAAAGAGAATATTGGTTAAAAATCTCCCTCTTTCCTAATACAAGAATGTGGGGTCATCCCATGATGCTGATTGATGCGAGATTCTGGACAATAAAAGGAAGCATGTCTTCACACATGCTTCCTCCACACAAAGGAAGCATGTCTTCACATGTCTTCACACTAAGCTATGGAATTCACAGGGTGTAGCGATGACCTCCAATTTGGATGGCTTTAGAAGGGGAATGGACAGATTAAGGAGGAGGCTGCCAATGGCTGCTATGGCTACTGCACTCATATCCTGCTTAAGGGATCCCATGAGCAGCTGGTTGGAATGCTGCATGAATGGAATGCTGGACTACAGAGATCCTTCTGCTGATCCAACAGGGCTGTTCTCATGCTCTTGGACAAGAATTGCTATGTGCCTTCCTCACCAAATGTACATCACCAACTTTCCTCGGAAAGTATACAAGGGCCATGAGCCAAAAGTACTTCTTTAGGCATGCTCAACATCCCACTGGGTCCCACTTACCAGCTCTGAACATCAGACTCTTTCCACAAAAACAGATTTCCTCTCCAATGCTACATCACAAATGGCTTTCAAAAAGCCTCTTCTTTTTAGGAAAGGCTGCTATATGATGAGCTGTTTTCCAGGAAACAACACTGAGGCATACAGATGTATGCAGAAGAAAAGGTGCAGGTGTATATTAATAGACCCTTGCTTGCAAGACTACCCCCATCAACCAACGTCCTGCAGGTCTTTGCACTGAAAATACGTCCTTCCTTCAAGTCTTCAATAGTTTAGCATTTCCCCCAGGACAAATGTACCCCATAAGCATATTTGTAAACTGCTTCTTTCCACTATACCTCCTTGTAATCCTGTGAAAACTCCTGGGATAGAGCATGGGGCAATACACCTAGAGGGATAAATCAGAAGAAATCTCATTCTCTCTCAAGTGTTCAGAAACACCTTCTGCTCAGCAAACAGGGTCTCTGGATCCTATGCCCTACTAGCATAATACAGAATATTATGTAAGAAGTGTGTTTGAAAAGCAGTTCAGGTAGATGGATGTCTGATCTTTTTGCACAGTTGACTTTTTTAATAATTCCTAATCAATATCACTAATGAGCACAAATCTAATATTCGCATACAGGCTGACCTGAAGTCACACGTTGGCAACCATGACAGCGCTGGAGAGTATACACGAATAACATTAGCCAAGACTAGAAAATGAACTAATCTTGTCATCATACCCACCTGTAAAACAAACTGGACATTTGAAAGTCCCTCCCATTCCTTCAAAACTGTGTTCTATCAGATGGCACTGAAGTTTGGCAGGTGAATCAAAGGTCTGGTTGCACAGCTTGCATTCATGGTTTAGGCCTTCATCTAGCAGAGGAGAGTGAAGACATGTTATTGTTACTTGATACATTTGCCCTCCAGTCTTCTGCCAAAGAACTCAGAGCAGTTTACATAGGATTAGAAGCATCATGGATGATATACTCCATCTGCTAAGCAGTTTATCAACCAGTTCCATTGAGCAACTCCTTCACCTCCCCCAAAATAACAGTTATTAACATATATATTTGCTAGCAAGAATTAGGTATATGAATCAATGCAATTGGCCTTGATCACTAACACCGAAGCATATGGTACAATTTCTGTCCCACTGCCTATAGCAGATCAAGGGTGGGATCATATGCTGCCAGTCCCTTTGATGTGACAGCTATTAGCCTATACCTGTTAAATGTGTACACATTAGCTGAAAAATATATACAAGTTTTTCCAGGCCCTATTAAAGTACTGGGGGAGGCAGGCGGGTTAAAATACACTTTTCTTAAACAGGGGGACTGCAGAGTTATCTGTTTAGTATTGTAACAGGCAAAGACCCTACAAAACAGCCAGCAATACACTTGCAAAAATGTTTCACTCCAAGTTTCCCTTCTGATCTATATCAACCCACTCTAACCTCTCCTCTAAGGCAGCTGACAAAGCCTTAACTGAAGAATGATCCAGAAAGTGTGAAAACCCTGGCTATTTTGGTTTGCTTTTAGCTGGAAGGACTATATAAATACCACATGTGCTTAAGAATGAATGACAGAATTGGAGGATTTTATACTTATGTAGATTCTAATTTTTGATATGCAGTATTTTAAAAGATTTTCCCACCCTCTCTTTTACAGTTCTATGGTACCATGAATCTCTGCCTTGATTTTTCTGGTATTCTTAATGCTTGAACAATTCTCCCCTGCCACTTCCTATTTCCCTTATTAATAACTATCCCACTACAGCCTCAAAGGTCCTTTATATTTTTCAGATATAGGCATTCCTAGTACTACCAAATTGATCCTAAAACCTTCCCTGCTCTAAGATGCAGGTCTTTGGTGCCCTTCCCCCCTCCCTCTTCCATCTTAGGCCTAGCATTAGCCTTTCTTCCCACCAGTGTTGCAAGCTCCTTTCGTTCCACCATGGGAACCGTGATAGGTTGTCCTACTTAGAAACAGTTGCTAGGTATGATGCAGCTCCTAGCTTTGTTGTACAGGGTTCAATTCCCTCAGCATATCTTAGAAAAGGTCCTTGTGTATGTCACTAATGTGTTATACAAATAGCTTGATCTTACAGGTAAATACACTATCCGATTAATAAAAACAACACATAGCTGCACGTGATACATCATTTGAGCATGTTGCATGCAGAAAAGGATTTTTAAAAGTATCCCTTCCTAAGCATCTAAACATCCAACCATTCCACTGTAATTTAAAATAACACAGCATGTAATTATTGGTATCTATGACTGACAAGAAATGATCAAACCTGATGAAGTTAACAACCAAATTAAGCATGACCTACAGAATGCAATCTATATGTCATCACTTGGTCATTTTCCCAAATGATAACAAAGTAAAACCAGACAAAGCAATTAGATGTATACCCCTGGCATTTGGGTTACCTGAGTGTGAATTATCCTTGATATAAACAGGCAGAATTCACAATCCTGCTGCTTCATCTTGCTTAGCAAAGGATCCTTCACTGCTCACTCATGCAACAAGCTCAGTGGTGAAAGAACGCTAGTCGTGACTATGCAGAGCAAATGCACTACCTCCCGTATCATTTCCTGTAAGAGCTTCTGAAAATGTCAACACATGCAATTGTCCAGGATCTAGACTGTGCAATTTTCAAAGCCTGGGTCTGCTGACGTTCTGTTGTACTGCTGTTTGCTAAGGGTTCTGTCACTTTGGGCTGCATTTGTCACTTCCTATACTATTAAATCAGAAACAGACAAAGGCAGGGAACTTTTGTTGTAGTTGTACGACCATAGAACAATCTGGGGTAGTTCATTCTTCCTCCATTCACAATCTATTCCAGTTGGAAGTCTGGATGGACAGCATACACATGTATCAGGCAGAAATGCTGGGACTATGTGCTAAGGACTATAAATCGCAAGTTCCCCCTTCTCTCTTAGTGCTATTGTTGAATTATTTTGTGCATTCTTCCTTTTTGATGCCTCTATTCTTCACTTTATGTCAAAGTGAACTCCACATTAAAAAGAAATGGAAGAGTAATGTTTGTCAAAAATTATGCATGTTTGAAAAGGTTACATAAGAGGCAGCATTGAATGGCAACGTGGACAGAGTTCAGAAAACAAGATGGAATCAATGCTTAGCACTCATATATAGGCTAATACATTTTATTATGAAGAAAAACCTGAATTTAACACTTGTAATCAGGCCAAACATCTAGCTCATCTGGTATCGGGTCTCTGACAGTGACCAGTACCACTACTTTGGAGCAAGGTGAAAATCCCCATAATGGCCCTATTATGCACTAAGAAGCCAGAGAGAGGAATTTTTCTGTGAATATCTGTGTTGATGTGCTTACTTAAACCAAGTGGGGGGAAAGGAACCCATCTCTGGATCTTTCGTCTGTCAAGGTGAAGATAAGTGATGGACAATCTCCAAAATGTTAGCCAAATGCAAATCAGCAATGCTAGGTACTCTAAAGCAATTGAAACTTGGAGGGGCATTTCAGCAAGCTCTCCAAGGATATATGGATTCCTGTTCATACATGCTGCATAAAAATGCAACATTTAAATTAAGAATGATGGGTGGTTTTATAGGCATCCGGGTTTTTACTGTCCCTGTTTCCATTAATTTCACTCCTGAAAGTAAAAGAAGGGTAGGCATTTCTTGTCCCCTATCCATTATATGGGACATCATGTGCAGTATTTTGTTAATTATGCTTAAATTCCAGTGATGTCCACTGAAATTAAGTGTGTTGGAGTGGGATTTAGGTGTGCATTATTGTATGCAAGATTACAAATAGCGTCAGATGGCAGTAAAACAACCCCCCTGCACCTAATTTGATGAGAATTTACTAAAATCTAACTTTTTTAAGCCTCAGATGATTGCAACATTTGGATTTTAGCAGTTAAAATGGGTGTGGGGGGCAGGACTGCTGTTGAAGCTGTAGACTTTGAAAGTCTGCATTCAAGATGTGTTTGCAAATTCAAACCTTCTATTTCAGATTATAGTGAAGTCTAATTTATATATATAAACACTTGACTAGTAAAATCTTAGAAAGTTTTCCAGCTAAACCTCTTTGACTAATGGGAATATATGTTATTTAAAAATCGTAAGCATTATGGATAAAAGAGTCTCCATGTCTAAAAAAGCCAGCACAAATTAGAGCTGAAGCAGGGAGGAATCTAAAAGAGAGACGAAGTTACAAAGTGAGTTGAGTAGGAGATGGGGTTCGCACACTCTGTCTACCTCCCCTCCCCTCTCATGACAATAATTCTTTCATGCTGAAGGAAGGTCTCTTCATGAGCTTGCTGACATGTATCCCTAGTCTGGGCCTCCTCAATTCTGTCTTCCCGTCAGGGCATGTCCTACATAGGGTTGCCCAACAGACTAATGAGAAAGAATACTATAGTCAGTATAGCTGTCTTCAATTAAGAGCTTAGGCTGGTATTAGGGTTTCTTGACACTGTACACGGTTAATAGCAAGGTCAAACCCACCTAGGTTCCTGGACAATCCACAATATTCCCATGGACCTACAGCTCTGCATGTACTCCCCACTTCTTTTGATCATTGCTGCATTCTGGGACAGAACCAGTGATACTGCAGCAACAGCAGTGAGCTGTGGCTGGCCAGGGGCAGTGGAGAGCAGCAGGTGTCCATCTGGCCCAGAAAATACACCAATCTTCAGATCCCCTGTTAACAGTTGACTTAGAAAGGCTGACTGTACTTGCACCCACAGTTCTTCCACCAGCACATTTCAGTTCCTGCTGCTCCTTCTAGTTATTGCAAGAGGGATGAGAATTCGGGAAGAAAGCTGTTCTTTAGACACCTGCTTTTCTACACACAGAAAAGTTTAAAATGGAAATACGGAATGCCATGTCTCACCTAAACAAACAGGCAGTGAAAAGCTACCTTGGCAGTTTACACTTGGGATAAATATGAAGTGAAGTGGAGTGCCAGAACATTACTTCAAGAGGTCATTTCCCCTCTCTTCTATATCCACTTCAAAGCTACATTCTTTCAGCAAATCTACAGAAAAAAAGGCATCTAAAAATGCTGAACAGCTTTAAAAAATTCCATCAGAATAAGCTGCTCTTTAGAAAGATGGTGGATGACAGTAATTGGAAAATACTGTCTGACTCATTTATTAAAGTGAAATTCAGAGTCAATTGATTTAATAACCATTAGAATATTCTATTAAGGATTTAATAGGTTGGCACAGTCCTATTTTTTATTAAGAGTTATTGGTGAGAAATAAGCAATTCTATGGAAGTTATCCACCCATAGCTGTAGGGCTGATTCACACACCATTCCCCCCACCATAAACACAGTGGCTTCTGAACAGTAATTTTAAGGTAGGAAGGGCCATTCTTAAGGATGGGCTACTCCTGTACCAGACTGTCAACTGCTGGAAGAGCCTTGCTTTTAAGCCTTATCACATTATCTGCTGGTAGAACAGCCGTCTGAATTTGAAAGTCATTCATAAGAACTGGAATAAAATGGATTCCAAGTCAGAAAGCAAATGCATCACAGTCTTCCCAGAGAGGAAAAACAGCCGCATGTATTGGCTCTTTGGAAGGAGGAATGAAAAAAGTCTATTACACAAAATAAGCCTACTGGTTAGTGAGAAAGGAAAGAGAAAATGGGATTGCACTGCTTTCTCCATCCATTAGGCATGGTCTTCCAGGGAGAAGCCTTTGCATAGAGAGGTATATACACATAGGATTCCTTGGTAGAGGGAATCCCGAACATGCAGGGTTCTCCTGGGGAAGCCTGTACGTTTCGGTATCACATACCCACTGTTAAAATCTACTTTGTCTCAGTTTGTTCCATCTCATGCTTAAGTTTGTGAACTCTCAAAAGTACAATAGTATGGACCTGGAAAAAGTGCAGATATGTCCCAGCTAATATATACATTGCTTTTTTTGTGGAAAGTGGTGTCTAGAGTGTCAGAGGCATCTGCTGGACATTCCCTGTGATGGTATTACAGTTGACAAAAAATTGCTATCTCCACACAGTATACCATTATCTACTTAAACAAACCAAACAATAAAAACCAAAGGTTAGCTACAAAGATACAACTGTAAACCAAAAAGAAATCAGATTATCTGAACACAGCATTAATTAAATAGCCATGGAACCCAACTATGCAATCCTCTGGACTCCTCATACATACACCTACACCAGCACTTACACATATACAAATACTTTGCAAACCAATATCTGCCTACTCAGAAGAAAGGTTCACTAAATTTAATGGGACTGATTCCCAGGAAAGTGTGCATAGGATTTCAATCTTAAAGCAGCAGAAAACTGCATCAAAGGGACTTCTCTCCAGTCCCTTTCTGTCATTGTGTAACCTTTTTGTTGGTGAAGGCTTGTGTGTAATCTAGCCACATATTTCTCCTTTTGAAATGAGGAAAGGGAACAGTTCCCTAGTTGCCAGGCACACCCTGCAGCAAAGTTGTCTTCCCCATCTGCTTATTACCTGGGGAAGTTGTAGTGCTCATGACTGACCCAAAGGAGATACAACACTTCTTACAGAAAGGTGAAACAAATGGAAATGCTCATTTCTGAAAGAAGGCAAATCAGAGGAGACACCTCCTTCCAGAAAAAAGTGTTTCTGCTTATTTGGATTGCCTGGAAAAACTAAATAATCATTTAGGTATTTCAACCTTTTAGAATTGGAGGGACATTCAGAAAAGCAAGAACATGCTGAATGATCTGTGGTTGAAGGAAAGGTGGCAGGGAAGGGGTGTGGATAATCTTGGTTGGTTTGATTGGGACCCTGAGGGCTGGAAGTGGTTCCGGTGCCTAGTGTTTCAGCTCGTCCCTCACAAAAATACCTATCTTCAGTGCCAAAGACCATGTTGATGAAATACAAATCCCAAATCACTGCCAATGTTTGATCCTGCTCTCATTGAAGGCAACTGAATATTTTTGATTAAAGATCCGGGTTAACCATAAACATTCCCACTCCCAAGTGGTTTCCATGTCATATCAGTAAAAGCTGTCCATCTGTGTCACGTGTCTCAAATAAGTGGAGTTACTGCTGTGGGAAGTACCTTGAAAGTCAGGAGAACCACTTAGTGCTCCAGATCAAGCATTAATATTATAACCTGAAAAAATCTTTCCTAGAGGAGTAGCACCCTGATTCTAAAGTTTGAACCAGCCTACAGTCTATCCTTCATCAACCTGGTGCCACCCAGAGGTATTGGACTACAACCCTCCATATTCCTGACCATTGGCTATTCTGTCTGGGGCTGATGAGCACCAGGTAGGGGAAAGTTGCCAAAGCCAATGTGGGGTCTGAGCTTAAGACAGAATTACAGGTTAGTTAAATTAGGTGCACATCTATACTGCAGACAGCTATTATACTAGTTTAGATGCCACTGCACACCCAAGGCAGTGTTGATATAACAGTTTTATGAAGATGCTCAGAATTCTCTGTAAGAAATTATTCACCTCTTATACAACAACTACAATTTTCAAGTTCCTTGGGGAGCAAGTCATGAAATGTAAGTTTGCACAGCTATCCCCTCAAGTTCCAGGTTCGTAATTGTGTGCTTGTATAACACTTTTCACCCTTAAAGTAAAAATTTCTTGTATTGCCCTTCAATAACAAATTACATAAAATTATAATAAAATGAGCAATTAAAACTACATAATACAGATGTATGTTTCTGAGGGGAGCAGTACTATTAACAAATATATTGACATTATAGAAACGTATTTTAGTCGGAATCAAAAGTTTAGGGCTACTTTGGAGCACTGGTTCTCTCAACTGTGAAAATAATTCTGGATTTCTATGTCAAGTGCAACTGTGTGTGTGTGTTGGTCATGTGTCAAAAGATAGCTTTCTCTGTTGTTTGATATTAAATACCTACTAGTATTTCCCACCCGTCTGGGACTTCTGGAACTGGTGGAAGTACTGGTATATCTACCATCGAGTTCTACACAAAAAAAACACAAATTGGTAAAATTGAAAGAGGATACTTTATGGATACTTCATGCAGCACAAACTAAATTCTACCAGTTCTAAAGTCATGTCTATAGGGAAAATATCCTGTAACACTGAGACAGGTAGTCAATCAATATGAATTTCACACTAAGGTGGACCAGCCGTACAAATGGTGTACTATGCACATCTCTTTCATCACATAATTTTTGTGTAAGATGTACATCAAATAGTTCCCCGCAGAAGAAAAAGTGGGGGTGGAGGAAAAGCAGCTGGACCAGGCTATAAAGAACTACTTGCTATGTCTAATGTTTTGTTTGCCTTTCAATACATAATGAACAAACATCAATGAACAAAATCAAACTTTCCCAGGACTCCTTAAATTCCAATCAGTCACAATATATGTAATCTGGTATGTTGATACATGAACCCTTACATAAGGCTGTTTTGTTGCATTGCCCTTTTCCTCTGGTTTACATTGGATAAAATAAATGCTTTAAACTAGCAATATGAATTAAAACTTTCTTCAGGCTGCATAGAGAACCTGACGAGATCAAACACTAGCCTCAGGTTCTGTTCTTCATGTTACCTGAATGGTATGGTTGCTTCCTCCTCTCTGGCACTTCCCATGGTTATCTCATGCTTAAGGAGAGGCCCCATAGTTATTACTATGCTCGTGACACCTCCAAATTTGTCACCAATGTGGTGTGGTCCTTACAACAGGGTATGCAACTCCCAATGTCCTGCTCTATGGTTCCCTTCAGCATGGGTTATGCTGCCTAGGGCTGATGAGAGTTGTAGGCCAAAACATCTGGAGGGTCACAAGTTGCCCACACCTGCCTTTAAGGTTACCTTTGCATGTGTTAACACAGCTTTTCTGTGATCAATGCTTGATGAAGTAACACTGCTTGTGGGGGCAATCACTTGTGGCTTTTGCATCGCCCTCTCAGAGGGCTGATTACATGATCAGGACCTGTTGCAATTAGCTTCCAACTTATGGCTGAATTACTTAAACATCACGCCAGTTATACCAAAGCTCATCACAGAAACATGTTAGGTGTTATCCAGAATAGCTTACAGGTAGTAGCTACTCCTCTGCTGCCACAGATGTAGTAACAAGCTTGTCATTCCAGGTAACATGCAGCTGGGATCTTTAATGCTGCTGTGTATAACCAGTGGATATCACTTGATAACTAGTAAGGATAACAATGATATTTAAACGGGTGTGCTGGAAGGAGGATATTGCACATGTAGGCAAAGTAAATTCTGAAATGTACCAAGCGGATGCATAAAAAATTATTCTACTCTCTGCATCTAAAATTAAGGAGAAAAAAAGTGTATGAGAATCAAAGCTGTCATATCCCTCTCAAGGTTACACTTAAATCTGGTCTTGAAACCAAGGTAACTTCTGCAGCCTGTCTGAGGATTTCAGCTGCATATCAAAGTTATGCCACTACATCCAGAGCAAAGAATGACATTAAGTGTTGTTTTGGTTTTAATGTGAGAAAACTTCCATTGCTTGACCCCCAAAGAAAACATGTTGTTGTGCAAATAGTTTTGTCTGAAAAGTGTATAGAATATTCTTAACTAAATAAGACTTAGATGCTTCTGGAAAGGAGGCTCCATGGATATCGGCAAAATCTGCTTCAAAAATGTTTAAAATGCAAATGTTTAAGTTGCAAATCTATTGACAAGCAGTCACAGCAGAAAACAGCTCACATTACTTTGACTAAATCAGAATAGTACTACTGACATCAGTGGGATTATACATGTTTAAAGTCAACAACTCCAGCTTGAATGGCTTATGGATCAGCTGAAACGGTTTCTTTCCACTGACTCAGAACTAACAGCTTTACGCATTAATAACCATGGCCAGATCCTAGCTGCCTGCACATTCCTTTGCGGGCTCCTCTTCCCTGGCTTTCCTAAAAAACTATTACTAAGGATCCAGAGACTGTCTGGAACCAAATGGCATGTGGTGCTGGAGCCTGCACCAGGAAGAAATGAAATCACTTTCCTGAAAACTGAGGGCAGCCTCTTTTTCAAGCTATCACATTTAGACAAATTCAATTGTAGCGTATTTTATTTATTTATTATACTTCTGTTGCACCAAAAGCCAAAGCTCTCTGGGCAGTTAAGAGCAGGTTGCTTACCTGTAACTGATGTTCTTCAAGTGGCCATCTGTGCAGTCACACATATGGGTTCTGCGCCTGCGCAGTGCCTTTGGCCGGAAGATTAACAGCTAACGGTTTTTGGTGGGAACTCCGCTCCCCCTCCCCCCTAGCATTATATAAGGAGCGGAGTGCCTGCCATTTTCCAGTCTTTGAAAGACTGACGTTTGTTCTTATAATAAGGGTTGTCAGTATGACAAGATAGCCAAATTCAGTAGTGGTACGACACATAGCAAAGAGATCATAGTATTGAAAGAAATAGACCACCCATGACACCAAGCGGGGTCGGAGGGTGGGTTGTGTGACTGCACAGATGGCCACTCGAAGAACATCAGTTACAGGTAAGCCACCTGCTCTCCTTCGTCGTGGCCTCTGTGCATCACACATGTGGGTAGAATAACAAGCTCACCCCAAATGGAGGAGGGAAGTGTCTTCAGCGAAGGACAGAAGAAAGGACAGCTCTGCCAAAAGAGCAATCCTGCCTGGCATGGACATCGAGTCTATAAAGTCTGGCGAAGGTACACAGGGTAGCCCAAATGGCCACCCTGCACACATCTTCTATCGGGACCCCTGATGCAAAGGCCGAAGAAGCAGCAACAGCTCTTGTAGAATGACCTCTTGGAGTAGATGGCAAGTCCAACTTAGCTAACTGATAAGACAGGACAATTGTATTTACTATCCATTTCGAAAGACGTTGTGAAGTGACTGGACAGCCTCGGTCATGTTCCGAATATTTCACAAAAAGTCTATTGGAACGCCGAACAGACTCAGCCCTGGACCTATAAAAAGCTAAGCAACGATGAACGTCCAGCATATGTAGAGATCGCTCTATCGGATTCGAAGGGGTCGGAAAGAATGCCGGTAAAACAATCTCCTGTTGCATGTGAAACGAAGTAGCGACTTTCGGAAGGAAAGACGGATCCAGCCGAAGAACCAATTTTTCCTTATGAAAATTTAGAAAAGGAGGGTCTACCCGAAGGGCGCAGAGTTCAGAGGATCTACGGGCTGAAGTCGCTGCAACAAGGAAGGCAGTCTTCCATGAAACAAGGCGTAGATCGATCGTCGCCGTGGGTTCGAAAGGTGATTGAGTCAGCGCTTGTAAAACCACCGGAAGACTCCAGGTGGGCATCAGAGATCTTATAGCTGGATGCAGATTACTCAATCCTCTCAAAAATCTTTTAATCAGAGGTTGAGCAAAAATGGAGAGACCATGTATAGTTCCCCGGTAATGTGAAATCGCTGCTGTATAAACTTTTATGGACGAAGGTTTGAGTCCAGACTGATGAAATTCAAAGAGAAACTGAAGTATCTGTGAAACAGAAGCCGAGGGGGGCAGAAACGAGTGTAAATTGGCAAAGTTAGAGAATCTCTGCCATTTTGCCGCGTATGACTTCCTAGTAGATGGTCGTAGCGCAGATTCGAGAATATACTGTAGGTCTGGGTGTAGACTCTGCTGAGCAGGAATGGCCGGGATGGTTGGTGGTGTCGATACCGATGTATCGCAGCTGGTCATTGTATCCTCCATGCAGCCAGTTTCAGCGACAGCAAGTCTGGGTGGCGGATTGTGCCCTCCCTCTGGGTAACGAGATAAGGAAGAAGAGGGAGTTGGAGAAATTCTTCTTGGGAGACGTGAAGGAGAGTTGAGAACCATGGCTGGTGTGGCCACCAGGGGGTGATCAGTAGCCCTGTGGCCCCTTCATGAATGATCTTTGCCAACACTCTCATGATGAGTGGGATCGGAGGGAAAGCATAAAAAGTCATATTTGTCCAGGGGATCATGAAAGCGTCCTCGAGCGAGTCCTGACCCATCCCCGCTCTGGAACAACAGGCCATGCATGCCCTGTTCTGTTGTGTGGCAAACAGGTCTGGCTGGCCCCATCGGTGAAATAGCATGTCGTGAACCCGATGGTCTAGCTCCCATTTGTGTGACCGCGACATATGTCTGCTCAAGAGATCCGTGTCTGTATTTTCTGTGCCTGCAAGGTGAACTGCTAGAAGAGTGATACCTCTCGGTATGCACCAGTCCCAAATCTGCATGGCCAGGTGGGCTAGTTTCCGGGATCGGGTTCCCCCTTGTTTGTTCAAATAAAAGACCATCGCCATGTTGTCTGAGGTCACCTGGACGACCTGGTGTAGAAGCACATCCTCGAATGATTGCAGGGCTTTGAAAACGGCAAGAAGTTCCAGAAAATTGATATGGTTCCTGCAATCCTGGTGACTCCATATCCCCTGGGTACATACATCGGAGCAAATTGCTCCCCATCCCAGCAGGGACGCATCGGTGCCGAGGGTTACTGCAGGGTACCAGGGTCGAAACGGAATGCCTACAGTCAGATTGGCTGGGTCTATCCACCATAACAGGGACTGAAGAATGGAAGCCGGGAGTCGAATCCATTTGGTAGGTGGATCTGTCTGTGGTCGAAACATTCCGTTGAAGAACAGTTGAAGGGGACGTAGCCTGAGTTTGGCATGCGGAACCACAGCGATGGAAGCAGACATGTTTCCCAACAGGCTCTGAATAGACCGGGCGGGGACGGTTCTTGCTTGTCGAATCCGAGCGATGCACTGAGCAATCGCATGCCGTCCGTCCCGAGGAAGGAAGGCTCTTGCCAACGTCAAATCCAGCCGGGCTCCGATAAAGTTGATCACCTGTGTAGGGAGAAGGGAAGATTTCTGTTGATTAATACAGAGTCCGAGATCGTGCAATAGAGCACATGTAAACTCAACAGCAGACGAAAGTCCTGCTTCTGTGTCGGAGACCAGCAACCAATCATCAAGGTACGGGTATATCCGAATTCCACGTAATCGAAGGTGTGCACAGACAGGTGCAGTGGCTAATCCAAACGGTAGCACATTGAATTCGTATATTTCAGAGTCCACCGCAAAATGAAGGAAATGCCTATAACTTGGATGTATTGAAATATGAAAATAGGCATCCTTCAGATCCAATGAGGCAAACCAATCCCCTCTTCCCAGCAACGGGAGAATACTTTGAAGTGTGGCCATCCGAAACTTCTTTGGTGTTATGAATCTATTGAGAGCTCTCAAGTCCAATATTGGTCTGAGACCCCCATCCCGTTTCGGGACCGTAAAGTATCTGGAATAGAACCCGTGCAATCCCTCCGATAACGACAGGCGACGAATAGCTCCTTTAACAAGGAGTTGGTGAATCTCGTCTAACAGTACCAAGGAAGTCGGAGTATAGCGGATAGGATTCGGTGATGGCACAATGTCGAATTCGATTGCATATCTGTGCTGAATGATAGATAACACCCACCCATCAGATGTGATGGACTTCCAAATGGAGAGCCGACTCTTCAGTCGATCCCCAAATGAGAGGGGGGAGGGTAGAGTTGGAATGAAAGGAGAGGTTCGCTCGTTGAATCAGTGCTGTTGCCTGTCCGTATCAAAGCAGTGGCAGCCCTGTTGGAAGTGCTGGGGTGGTTGTTGCCTGCGACGCTGCTGACATTGATGCGGTTGCTGTTGCCGAGGCGGAAATTGTTGACGGTACTGTGGACGTGACCATGACCACTTACGTCGGGGTAGAGATTGCAATTCCATACGATGGGCCGTCATCCTTGATTCATCGATTTTCTTCAATTTACTATCCGTCCTCGCATGGAAGAGACCGGAACCGTCGAACGGCAACTCCTCAATTCTCCGCTTCATCTCGTCCGGAAAATTGCAATTACGCAACCAGGCGTGTCTGCGGAGGGAAATGTGACCGACCAGCGACCTCAAATCAGAGTCCACGTGGTGTCTCGCGGTGGAAAGTTGTTGCACTGCCACTTGCATAGCTTCCTTAACAAAAGTCTTAGCAAGTTCGCCCTGGTTTCCCGGGAGGGTATCGATGATGGCGTCCAGGCGTTGCATAAGGAAATATTGGTAACGCGCCAGGGTTGCTTCATAATTGGAAATTCGTAAACCAAGGCCCGAAGCTGCGTATACCCGGCGGGCGAGGGAATCAACCTTTCTGCCCTCTTTGTCACGAGGCGAGGTGTGTCCACGGGCTTCCTGACCCTGCGAGGATTCTACAACAACCGAATTCGGCTTGGGGTGACGGAGAAGAAACGGGATATCCTCTTCCCGCCGATACATGGGCTCGTATTTACGAGAAGTTGGTTGTGGGTGAGCTGGGAGGTCCCATGGCTGGGTCATTGCCTGCCATAAGGTCGTAATAAATGGCAAGGCATTAGATGTGGATCGTTCGCCCCTGACCACATCATAAAAACGATCGGTGCTCGGTCCCGGCTGTTGGTAGGCTTCTATATCAAGCGATCTCACTAGTCTGGCCATCAGATCGTTAAACGATATGTATGGTTCCTCGGGCAACCCCGGGCCCTGAGAAGCAACCGCTGCATCCAGCGAGGTCGAGTCAGCCTCAGACTCATCAGATTCCATCCAGTAGGGGGGTGGTACACAGGAGGAAGAATCTCCTGGTGACTCTGATCTGCCACTTTCTTTAGATGGGGCCCTCGGGGCATCTCTGGGCATTGAATGGAAATGTTCCCGAGGCGCTGGTGGTGAAGATTGTCCCCTGGAGGTCGGATAATAGGCTATGGAGTGGTACTTTTCCCGTCTCAGAGCGGAGGAGTACCTGGAGTGGTACCAATCATCAGACCTCGCATCCGAGGAACGGCTCCTACGGCTTCTCGGAGGGGAGATGGCAATCTCAGTATCCATTGGGATTGGAGGCATCAGGGTTGGTGATCGAGCTCTAGGTGGAGAGTCTTGTATTTCCCCATCAGAGATGGAACCACGCCTTGAATCCAGAATGGATTTGGCTGTCGGTCGGCGCAGTGAGCCCGGTGGGGTAACCCTCATAGCCGCCTGGATGGTCGGGACCGAGGGGATCAGTTCCGAAGCAGGGATCGGAATCAAGGAAGAGGCCGAGCCCGAGTGGCTGTGTTTTGCCTGCTCAGGGTTCTTCGGCTA